TCTGATGGCCCATTCGTTTTTACTTTGTCCTCTGATGGCCCATTCGTTTTTACTTTGTCCTCTGATGGCCCATTCGTTTTTACTTTGTCCTCTGATGGCCCATTCGTTTTTACTTTGTCCTCTGATGGCCCATTCGTTTTTACTTTGTCCTCTGATGGCCCATTCGTTTTTACTTTGTCCTCTGATGGCCCATTCGTTTTTACTTTGTCCTCTGATGGCCCATTAGTTTTTACTTTGTCCTCTGATGGCCCATTCGTTTTTACTTTGTCCTCTGATGGCCCATTAGATTCAGCAGACACGTTGAGCTCACATTGCCTATTTTGTTCATGATTGTGACTTGTGTGGTGTCTGTCCTCTCCCTCTTATAGTATATTGAAAAATGTGGATGTTCAGGTATTTTCAGTCTCACGTGACAGGGTAAATTAGTTAGCCCGCGCCGTTATACGTATGGTTGCCCTTCGTTGCACATTCTTAAGCATTGGCGACGGGGGGGAAATAACACCACAATAATCAATGTGTGGACACTATGAGGATTCATGTTGCTGTTACACATGTAGATGCCTAGAATTTAAGATAAGTTCATTTCTGGTACAGTTTCAATTCTGATCGTCTACCGCTTGATGCATTTAAAACAAATTCATCAGAATGACGAAGAAAGTGATAGAAAGTCGTGAAAAAATCTGTATACTTCATCAAAATATTGTTAGTTTGACATATCTATAAATCTATTTTAACCCAAATGGTGAATATTAAATACTTAATCTTCATTGTCATTTCCCTCTGAACATACTCCAACAAAAGACTGTAATATGTGAAGCCAGATAATCCATGTAGATGATTATTATAGTAATATTGAGCCTGCCTTGATTGACACTGGTTTCCGAGTGTCACACTACATGTGTACAGTCAGCTGTACCTATGTGATGTTGTTACAAAATACACAAATACTTCCTTGTATTCTATAGCACACAGAAGTTATACATGGACAGATAACGCAACTTGATTTATTCTGAACGCATGCATAAGTGTCTTGGATGTGACGTCACTCAGAGGTTGTTGTGAATCTCCTGTCTTACCTTCTCCAAATTATTTCAATGGGGTTTTCAAATATTGTTATACGTGGCGCTTGAATCACGCTCTCAGGTAGCGAATTTTAAACTGCCAACAAGCCGGCTTGTTGAGTTTTATACATTGCAAGCATGTATTCAGATCGTAACAAGAACTAAGTACATACACACGTATGTCCAAATGTGCAAGCATAACCCAAGGGGCGTGCACATACAAACATATTAAAAACAGTATTCTCGGTATCTTTGTCGTATTTGTTGTCATTATATCTTCATATCCATTCTAACAATAAGATGTATAAGAACCTAATTAACTCATTATATATATTGTTTTAAGCTACATGCTTTTCAAACTCACCGTTATCCATCGTAGACGTCATCTTAAATGCTGCAAAACAAACTACATGTATGACAGTTTACACACACGCGTTAGCACAGCTTAACACGCCAAGGTCGTGTGGCGGCTACGGCAAAGCATGATTTGCCTCCGGTTCCCACTCTGGCCTCGAGAAAATCAGCGTTAGTTCATTGAGAGATTAGGTTAATTTTTAACCCGCATTGCTAGCAAATATCTACTAGAGTAATTTCTAGTATGTCCATAAAACTAAACGAATTAGGACACTGAAATCCCACTGATCAGGTAAACACACACATTCTTTGCGCCAACAACTATTAAGTTGGTATATATCTAGACTCGTGTGGTCTTGTAAGAGGGTTAATTGTTCGTTTATATGGGAGTTAATTTAATTTTTAATAAAAGTCATTTATGAGGCAGGTGTATTGGGACACACCGCGAATTTTCCCCTAATTTACTCATTTCTACTATCCTTTATACTTTGTAAAATAAATATAATATAATAAAAATATCAAAGTTAATATGTTAACATAATTTTGAATAATTGTGTATCTGATCCGGCTGGTATGGAGGAAGGGCTCGGAGAACACGGAACGGTTACGAGGGGATCTGCAGAATACAGCTTTATGGAATGTGATGGACACAGTTTATGAAAGTGTTGATTGATGTTTTTCCAGCCGGTCAGATTATTGTTAATCAAATATTGTTTTAAACACTTACATGTGTTTGTATATTATTTATATACTTAGGGGATGATACTACCTATCTTTTACCCTTCTTCTTCCTGCTTTCCTTCTCTCACTGTTTCTATTGTATGATCGGATAAAGTTAATTAACTGCTGCCCATTATCTATTATACAACATGATGTATTGAGGAGAGGGCGTTACTAAGTTGGCAAAACTTGTGCTCAATCCTAATTGTCCTTATTTACGACAATAAAAATATGTTTAAACTAATCACCGCGAAAAAAATCCAAAGTGTTGCAATGAGGACAGTATATAGATTTTGATTTCTTATATGTTCCCAAGCAGAAGAAAAAGAAGAAAACGCCAAATTATATAGAAAAGAAGGCGGGAAAGTCAAGATGCACTGGGATACAGCAGGCCCTATCTTTCCTCAAGCCTTTAGGCATTCCCCAAGAAAGGTCCAAATCCTTTCACCGTCAATGTACAAGGACCTTCCGGCTGTTCCGCACGGGTTACTGATTCTTATGGCTAGCGTTTAGGAGACTTTGCAATGTACACCGTTAAAAGTAACGCTTTTTGACAGTTTCTCTTAAAAATTACAACATTACACAGTGGCTTATGTTTACCTAGATATACAGTTATAAAGTTTTTATTTTAATATTTCTACTTCTCTGGAAACCAACCCAATTATATAGTAAAACATTAATGCATAAACAATATGTCTGAATAATTTGTGCTTATCAAACCATTTAATTATACATTCACAGATAGAAGGAGACGGAATGAATTCCCTTGTACATTGCTGTGGAATGGTTATTGAAACGGGTAGATTTCATGGTTCAGAGGGAAAAGATAAAATTTGCATAATTATATTGTAACACTGGCGATATTGAAGACGAATATCATTTCATTATTAAATGTAGTCATTATACTGATTTAAGAAACCGTTTCATTAAAAATATTATCATAAAAAAAAATAGTATAGTATTTATTTTTAGATTTGATGACAAGAAGAAATAATAAAGAACTGTTTAATATAGCAAAATATCTGAGCCAAAGTACAAAAAAAAAGATGCAATACTGTTTAAGCTGATAGGAATCACTCTCTACACTATCGTTGTAATTGTATCATGTATGCATGGTCAGAGTGTTGTATTATTTGTTTGTATGAGTGAACACTATGGATTACATATTAGGATACCGTGTAGCATGCGTGACGTAAGTGACAAAACTGGTGACAAAGAAATACTTAATACGCAAAACGCTACACGAAAAATCATTTCGATGGTTGTCGGCAATCTGAAGCGTAGAATATGTCTTTTGCATGGCATCACTGTTGTGTTCAACACATTTCCACTTAAGAGTCCATTCTGTATTATCAAATAACGCTTGCTGCGTTTTGTGAACCGTGATTTTTTTTTTAACAATTATCTTATTACGATTTCACAAATAATTTCAACACGACAGGGGCTCGTGTGAGCGACACTCTCGGGCGAAACATTATTACTCGATTCGTAGAATAACCATAAAGGACATGTTGTTTAACTTTAATTCGATGTCCTCTTGCCGACAGGGACCAGAAACATGATATTTGTAGTATAGGAGATAAAACGTCCCCTCTTTTTGCACAAACACGCAACATATGTGTGTTGCTCCTGTGCTGCCAGGCTGCTTATCAACACAATAATGGCCGATCTCTAGATTATAGTAAGCCGAGGCTGATCCTGCAGATAATCCACACGCTGATATAGAGCAAAAAATATGTATTTAATCAAAAACATATATATAACAAAATATTTAATGCACATCAAATTTAAATATCTTGGAATTAATAATATGTTTACCAAACGTCAATACTAGTAGATGTGCTGATTCAAAGGTAGGTCTCGACAGGATTTTTTTGAAAAATTAGGACTTTTTCTCTCAGATAAATTAGATATTAGTTTAACCAAAGACGTATATTACCTGTTCGTACCATCAATATTCCATCCAGAAAACAATATGGACATATCAAGCTTAAATCAATACGTCCATCTCCAAAAACCGGAGACGCGAGGTAAGCTTTTTGGCTGGTATCAGGTAAAAACGACCTGGCCATACCTGTCCTATGAAGATTAATGAGGAGGGACATTCCACCGCTTCCAAGCCGGGTAAGTTACCGTTACACTGCCGTGTGATTCTTTTGATGTACAAAAATTAACTCACACTGGTAGTCATATAGTAGAGGAAAGGTTAATAAACTCCTTCAATTCAGTAACATCTCGACGTTCAGTAAAATTTGAAAAACAATTCTCGCTCATTCAGCAATAAGAAAAATCCCAGTAATCAGAAATCCCGATATACAGTAAAATTTGAAAAATACTCAAGACATTCAGCTGTTAAAAATTAACCTGTTGTTAGGTAAAATCAAGAAAATATTCCGGCATTAAGTAATTGAAAAATAAAAACTTTACATTCCCATATAGTGATGACCACATGCAACATATACAATACAAAATGGTAATACATATACATTCACATACAACGAACAGATACATGTAACTCGCCGCACACAGATGTCACTGTGTCACTAGGTATGCCAATAGACCCTCTGATACCGATTAACATTGTAGACACACTCGAATTCACACAAAACTAACCATAACATTTGGTTTATGCTCCAATGAATTATATTCAATTAATGATAACATATGTTAAACACATTTATATTATAACCATTTGATAAATATATATAAATATTGACAACACTTTATAAATATTTCATAAATATACACAGCGTATATAAAGAATATGTTTTAAAACGGATTGCCACTAAGACGTGGGCCGGACACATCTGATACGGAGGACTTACATAAGTCTAGAGGTCGTAGTATAACTAACTATACACCATGGATTTTAGACTTTTATAAGTCCACATAAATCTTGTGTCCGGTACCTTTAGAAGAAAGATCTTGTATCAATGTGGCCGAAGATTACACGAATAACGAAAGTTCTTTTCAGTATAATCGGATGGTATCCGGGGCATAACATTATCATACATGTATTTGCAGACAACAACATGGAGTCTGGAGGGAAGGTATATATTCCACGGAAAGTTTGTGACAAGTTGGGTTCACCATTACGTTTTATAACTCAACGTAGATGACTGTAACGGCATTACTTTAACATCAAGTAGAACATTCTCGAAATTTCCCGGAGTTCAAATCACTCATACTCTCCACACCCCTGGACGATGTCGTGACGTCACGAGGTTAATAACTTTTTGGTTGGTTTTAGATGAAAAGGACTTGACCAACTGCTAGGCTGATACCTGTCCTATGAAGAAACCCGACTACAAAGCCAGGAAATTTTACCGTAACGCTCTCGCTTGATTCTTTCAAATAGTGATGCACAGTACAGCGACTTCGATTTCGTCATGGCAAAATCGTAACCCATGTAACTGCGAGGTCTCGATTGGTCAATGAAACATCCGAATTGAAATATTACTTCACGATAAGTACTCTATCGTACCTCAGGTACTCAGATCGATGAACGATCTGACAGGATATATAGGTCGTAGAAAATAGGACGGATTTTCCTGGTGTTGTAGACGTATTCGCCTGCTACGAACTACTGACAAAGATCAGAGATCCGGTCTCTTCAAGTACAAATATACAATGCATAACGGTCAGTTTGAACTGCTAACTGGTACATACATGTATAAGGACGGATGGCACATTTACTGGCACTAACTCTATTGCATACAGTACAAGATATTCAAGCTTGGAACGATAAAGAGTATAAAATTCAACCAACGTAGTAATATGAAGTAAAACATAAATACACTGTCTGCTTAATTTCAGGAATAACTTTGTTCACAATTCTTCATCACTATCTTGAGATAATTCAAATTGTGACTGTTCCTCTATCGATTGAGGACGATCTGCTGTTGCCGCCACCGCGATGTCAACCGTCACTTCCGTTTCCGGTTGTAGGGTAATATCTTGGGAAGCATCGAGGCTTTGACTTTGAGACAGGTTTTGTGACGATGAGGAGAGCGAATCTGATGTACTTCGATACGACGATGAGGTAGATTGCATGTATGATGAGGACGAGGAAGATTGAGACCGAAGTCTAGGAGAATTCGCCGACTCCGACGGAGATGGCGTGACTGTCCTAGGTGGCGCCATATCAGGATCACAGTAATCTCCCTTTAACCATAAATGACGACTACCATCAATAAAATGTCTGAAGTGACGAACAACACGACTGCCCAATGAATCGTAGGACTCTCCCATCACCTGTGAGGAATAGATATCATTTCATTTAAGCGAATTTGTTTGATAATGCAGACATTGTGAAGTAAAATCAAAACTTCTTTTCCACTTGCCTCTGGATTTGATTTTTGGTGATATACATTCATCAGTAATTCAAAGACTCATCTTCTTTTAATAACCTTTAAGAGACAGAAATCTTAAAATTGTCTCCTTGAACAACTTCTAAAACGTGGTCGTCCGTATACATACCATCATTCTTGTAAATTATCTTTCTTTTTATCAAACTACTAGTATGCTTTACGAGTGTACTTTTGATGTAAGGTTTGGACAAAATGAGTAGAGTAACACAGTGAGGTATATCTTGTGAAAAGAATATGAATATTTACTAATTATTGTCAAACAAGTGAGTTCATCAATAATAATTATTTTGGCCCTGATAAACTAGACTAAAAATCAGTCTCTGAATTTTTTATCATACAAAATAATTGTTTTTAATTGTAATTTTCGATCTGTGTGGAAACATGTTAGCCTTGTAGAACAGTGTATCTTGGCGATATAATGAGATCAAAATATGTCTGACCTTTTCTATGTGAATCACATACACACATATGGCTGCTCCCTAAGTTAACCTACAACTTAGTTAACCTACAACTTGTCAACGTACACAGGTGTACAACCTAACATATTCGACTAACGTGTTCGCACACATGGGCCTACTACCTAAACAGCAGGCAGTAAACACTCATGGGCCTACTACCTAAAGAACAGCCCATTTACAGGCAGTAAACACACACGGGCCTACTACCTAAACAACAGGCAGCAAACAGGTAAACACACACGGGCCTACTACCTGAACAACAGGCAGTAAACACACACGGGCCTACTACCTAAACAACAGGCAGCAAACAGNGCCTACTACCTAAACAACAGGCAGTAAACACACACGGGCCTACTACCTAAACAACAGGCAGTAAACACACACGGGCCTACTCACGGGCCTACTGCCTAAATAACAGGCAGTAAACACACACCGGCCTACTACCTAAACAACAGGCAGTAAACACACACGGGCCTACTCACGGGCCTACTACCTAAACAAAAACCCGTTAACAGGCAGTAAACACACACGGTCCTACTACCTGAACAACAGGCAGTAAGCACACACGGGCCTACTACCTAAACACCAGGCAGTAAACACACACGGGCCTACTCCCTAAACAACAGGCAGTAAACACACACGGGCCTTCTACCTAAACAACAGGCAGTAAACACCCACGGGCCTACTACCTAAACAACAGACCGTTAACAGGCAGTAAACACACACGGTCCTACTACCTAAACAACAGGCAGTAGACACACACGGGCCTACTACCTAAACAACAGGCAGTAAACACACACAGGCCTACTCACGGGCCTACTACCTAAACAACAGCCCGTTAACAGGCAGTAAACACACACGGGCCTACTACCTAAACAACAGGCAGTAAACACACAGGGGCCTACTACCTAAACAACAGGCAGTAAACACACACGGGCCTACTACCTCAAGAACAACCAGTTAACACACCTCTATCTGTAGTTCTTGGTTGCCTATTCGGAGGTAAGCTCTGTACAGGTTGGTACTTTTGGATCCGTGCACACCCTTACTATGTATTCGACCCAACAATTCCAGATCTAAGCCTTCCAGGACCTCTTCTCGTATCGTTGTGACGTCACTTCCGGAATCGATCATAAACTCTACAAAAGGAGAACATTAAACGTTACAAGTTGAAATCGGTCATTCTTTTGTTATGAGATATATACATTTTTGCAGTATCGGTGAGATAAGAATAACATATAGTACGGGAAAATCAGACAAATATGGACTTGTTGTTTAAAATATCAATAATGGTCTATTCCGTCTTTGCATATTGCAGAGTTATCTTCTCTTGGGGGCAGGTATTGATTGTTACGTCACTTGTTTGTGAGAGTAACGTCATAAATTTTTGAGAAAACGACGTAATTTTCTCGCACAAATAAATGACTTAACAATCAATACCTGTCCCCAAGAGAAGATAACTCTGCAATACGCAAAGACGGAATAGCTAGTAAACGGTAATAATTTTGTGTCTGTGCTATACTGAGTATTTCTGTTAACATCATTTAATTATATAACCGTTTAGCTAGTTTGTGACTTGCAGACTGCTATTCGAATTTACCAATGAATGTTTTGTTGACAGCGATGCATTCCAAATATTCTTTATATTGAACATAATTTACCAAGTGTGTGAGACTTTTTTCGATCCTTTGTAGAATACACAGTAGCATCCAGCACCAAAAAATCAAATTTGCCATCCTGCAATGCCGTTGGTTTAGCCCACCGACCATGTGCAATGGGCTCTTCCGGTGACTGGTCCGTTGTTTTCATTCGCTTTCGCAATCGGCTAACTGAAAGATTTGTGAATAACATTTTTAAAAATAATACTTTGGCAAAAGACATAACTGATGGTAAGTGTTTCCAATAGCAGCTTTCATGACAATCTAATGTAACAAATTATCATTGGCGACATTTGTCCTTTACCAATTGCTTTCTATTAAACGTCTCTGCTTTGACGTTCCAAATGTCTTTGAATGGTGCGTCGTATTGCATGCGAATAATGACCTTTGATACCATACATAGCACCTTTCTTCGCATTTTAATGTAGTTTCCTTGTAGAAAGTAACCCAGAGAACGTAAGAGGTCGTTACCCATGGAATTACGAGGATGGTTAAGCCACATCTCTTCCCGGCCAAATATATTCTCTGTTATGTATGACATGCGCATAATAAGTACAATTTTCACTGCTCCCATAACGTATCAGATAAGGGGGAACTTTATTCAATCCACATTGTCAGGTTTGGGCAACAGATGTAAGTTTTACCAGATAAAACCGCAGTGATATTCGTTTGTCAGTTTTATACCATTTTGCCCTGTATGAAATCTTCAGCCGTTAAGTTCTCGTAATCAATCGACCAACCAACAATCTGTATTTGAAGGCTAAAATATCGCTTTCTCTGCTAAAATATGCCTCGGACACAACAGACGGTAACACCAGTACATTTGAGTGATTAGGAGAGAAAGTGATAATTTTGTTTTAAAGAGGTCATCAAGGTTCTATATCATCCGCGCTATCTTTTTATCTCATCGATTTCAGTAAAACAAGTGTCCTAACATCCTGATTACTGTCGATCGATGACGGTGAATCGCGCGCTGTCGCTGACGTTATGCTGGAGGCTGATAATGAGTTGACGACGGACGTTAGCATAAGTCGAGGTTAAAAAATATTGATTACTGCGCTCTTGATTGTAAAAGTAGCATACGTGTTCTCTATCGTTATATCAAATATACGGAATGTTTATGTTGTTAGCTATACGGTTCGTTGCTATTACTATTTACCAACTGTATATTAGCAGCTGTATGTGCATTATTTGTTATATTATAATTAGCTATACAGATTTTTTTTATTGTCAGCTGTACGATTTATATTATCAATGAATAAAACTTGATATATATTTGTATAGGGAAGTGTGCAGATGAAAGCGCGTTTCTAGGTTCGAAATATTACCAAGACATTGCGATCGGTAATGGTCATAGACCAGTATTTATGTATGCTAAGTTTCAGGCGGTGAAAAATATACTTAGTAGAACAGAGTGGAATTTTAGTTAGGAATTTAATTTAATCAATAATTCGAAACGCTGGAGATTGTATGGATATATATTAAAGATGCCGAGCTATTGTACATGTACCAGGTAATGAGCGAGATGCGTGCCTAGAAAAGTCACATTTTAAGCTATTGTGTGTAAGTCATAAATTGATTATTCACGGGTCGTGTATTTGACCGTGACTGATGGATTAAGAAAATCACTGACGCGTAACCTCATGGTTATGTGGAGACATGTAGCAATTACGGTACCCAGGCTGAGCACCTGTTTATTCCATCGATAATTCTGTGTTGATCACCGCCAGTTGCTGAGGCTGAGTTCAGGTAAAGCACTCACTAGGACCTTCTTGCATAATGAATGAGTCCTAACGATATATCAAACCGTTCCCTAGCCATGTGTCCCATTCATTCCGTAGGTAACCGTATCGGTGTCCCATAAATTATGGCTTTTGACTGGTCGGGAGGGGGAAATACTAGTTCTACCATAGCAACATCAATTATCTATCACCTGAGTAACGGTTTCGGTGACAGGGATTGGCAATGCTGGGTCGGAGGCTGGAGGTGTAAATCGATTGCACACCTGTATATTGCGGTTATTATATGGGATCACGGACGGCACCTGCTCATCCATTTTATATGATATAAATGAGCTTTGTTTGCGGCAACCGATGGCAGAGCGTGGCTGGAGTACAAACATAATTTAATTGGAACAGAGAAGGATTATTGTTTAGATATCCACTTCACTTGATTAAGAAGTATATACAAATGCATATAAAAGTACCTCTCATACTGTACTCTCGAAATTTATCCACTGTTCTTACTTGGTAAGAACTGAGAAGATTGGGCTTGCTAAAGTATAAGATACGAATTTAATTTACTTGGGGATTAACATTGTTTGTGTTTTCTGTTATTATCAAATATCCATCTTCTTCAGGTTGATATTGTTTTTTTTCACACTAGGAAATGTATTAAAATAGAAAAAGCGACGAAGTCCCAGCGGTAAGACGTTGACTACCACATCAATGTAAATATCTATATACTGTAAAGCGCTTTAGAGTAGCTTATGTTAGCTTGATAGGGCGTTATATAAAATGTTGTATATTATTATTCTTATAGTAGATTAGCTTAGCACAGACTTAGATATCTAAGCTAATTCCGTAGCTTAGGAAGCTTCCGTCTAGCTGCGATAACGTTGCGTCTGACCACGAGACGATTTTTACATATTGTGTGAGGCCGGTTATTAATACAGTATATATATATCATTCGTCATACTCAACCATCACATCGACATGTCGTTATTAATATAACTTCAAGCAGCCATTCTTCTGCTGTATCGGTCCCGGTCCTACTTCCGGAAACCGTTTCCTCACATATACAGTTACTCAGTTTTAAGTGCGTTTAAGTTTATACAGATGCTTGTAGTTTCTCATTGTGTGAAAGTCGTGATATTGTGACTACCAGGGTCCAGTCAGAGAGCTGCTGAAAATGTCTTCTAGTGCAGCGCCCAGCAAACGACGACGGTATATGTTTTGATTTTTTCTTTTGCCCGATAATCTGTTTTAGACTAGATTTCTGACACTTTATATGATGATGGAGTGAGAAATAGTCTGCGTGGTGGTTCACCGGTAACATTTATATCAATTCATGTGTTTGAGTAAGAACGAAATAGTCAATCTTGCGTTTTCAGCTATACTAGTTTAACAAGTTCACCACTGTCGGTAGTGATCAGCAATCTTACTTCATCAGGAACATGGTATTCTCTGTATCATAAACCTCACATCGTATAAGTTGTATGGTCAACATTCTCATCCATCTGTATTGAGATTTAATCAATTTCTTTCCCTTTGTAGAGTGGAGGAAAATGACGAGACGTAAGTTATTTGTTATGATATCAGCATTTGTTATGATATTTTTACCGTAATGGCGTCCGTTTTGTATACTAGCAACTTTCGTATGTAAATAACATGAAGCCTGCCTAATCCCACACCTGACCTTTCCGACAACCTGTAAAATCTTACATTGTACTGTATTCCATTGATATACACAGCTACAATTCATGATAAATGCATCTTCTAATGAAACAGGATGCATCATCGCCAATGTCAATGGCCCATTAAGATAAAAGGGGAGTTTACTTTGGTAATCTAGTAATTATTTTGCTCCAGTTTGCAAATTTCTGAAGTAGAAAGTTCGTTTTTTTCTCAACCTACCCTGCTTCATGTTCTTCACAGTTTTAATTTAGTTTTAGTAGGACCTTCGTATCAATTGTATTTAAGTTTGGCTTTTGGGCGCACACATTCAAAAAATATATAGTCTTAGTTGAGTATACACATAAAAATGTGTTTCAGCCTTAATTGGGCAATAATGTTTACTAGGCTTTGTCAGTCCTTCACGAAAATTTAGTGAACATAAGTTTATAACTGAAATTTGGAAATTAACTTAGATTTTCCTACCTGCCCTTTCAAGCCGCCGCTTGTGCCCGGGTAGTGTGATTTCTAACTCATCAAAAATGTCAGGATCCGGTAGGTTTAGCGTCTTTATCTGGTCCAGGTCATTGGCTGACTCACTGTTTACAAAGTTGGGGAAATAATAATCCAAACTGTTAGCTCTCAGCCATTCCAACAATTTGTACTCTGAACTTGGTTTGAAACGTCGGGCTACAAATCAAGATATTGAAAAGATTATAAATATCTATATATATGTGAGATTAGTTATCTTTAAAATATCAAAATTCATTTCAATGAAGGGAATACATTTTTTATGTAAAATTTAAATACCGAAATTGACAGGATTGCACGAGGTTCATAGCTGTATAAAAATACACGAGAATATAGATTTCTCTAACAAAACGATAAAAAGCATCGTTTATAAATTGCACCTGTACGTATAATCGAAATATTGTCAGAAATTAAGTAGAAACTCTTGAGTGGATAACCAAAAACAAAAAGCTGAACTGAGATTCTTTCATTAAACTGACGTTTCCCTTGTTTGTGTCTCTCCTATAAAATGACATATCAAGATTAAGTGATACGAAAATAAACACTTTAATCATATGCCAAATGTTTCGGTTAATTGTTTATCGATCAGAGACATGTAATTAATGTACAGTAATGTACGTCTCGTATATATATTTACGGGAATTTGCAATTATAATCGCAATCCTAATCTATGAAAATATTTCTTTATGCATGTGTAAAATCATATTCATATAATCATATGGTGGGTTCAAGTAATGTGCTATATATAACATAAAGACAATGACAGATACCAAAAAATGAAAATAATTACGATCAAATCATACCCCTGAATTATCTCCCCTGAAGCACGTGGCTACTTGTTTACACCCGCTTTGTGGGCGTGTGTCGTACACCTGCCCCAGAGTCTCACCTGCGTGCAGAATCTGTCGACGATGATCGGGATCCGCTATCGTCATGGAATCTAGATCTGCACTGTCTATATGACATAGGTCTTCCTCACAATCGAAGCCTTTGATGACAAACATATCAAAATACTGCAGCAATCCTAAATCTTCGAGAAATGTTTGCACGCCTTCAGTCATCGTGACATAGTTCTCATTCTTAGTTCCATTATACATTTCTAAACCATTGTTTAGTAGGTCTACTACCCACAGGTTATCACATCCAGGTACCAGCCATATTGTCCAACGATTCACACAGGTAATAACACGCCATTCACATTGTAACAGTGCACATTCCGTCAGTAGTTGATGTGAACGAAGTTAAGAGGATCTGATTGGTCAATAGGGTAACGGGACGCTTCATAGTATCCAATGACGACTGAGATCTATGTGCTTGTTATATCTTGCGACAAGTGTTTCCCCATCTAAAAATAGGTGTGGTGTACTAAATTACCACCAAGACTACGATAATACAACAGGGAGAAAAAACATCAAGTACACTGACATCGCTATACGTAAGACCTCGAAAGTGTTTCTTGTTATCAGAATAAGTTTGGAAAATGACATGGTTAAATGAACACAAGCATAATGTTAAATAAATAATCTAAATATTTTTGGGAACTATACCCCTGTCGAGGTTTGAATTCAACAGAGACGTATTATCTTACAAGATATCATTATTATACGTCTCTGTGTTAGCATGATACCAGTAATAGTTTTTAAAATTTCAACCGACACTCATTAATTGACCAGACAAAACGTGAACTATCGATAGTTCAATGTCCATGTTAGATTCAACTAAATGAAGTTTATTGCATCGACCACTATCGAAGTCCGTGTTTATAGACACAAACACAAAAGACATAAAATAAAAAGCTAAATGCATCTTTTGTTTCGTTGTTAGACAAGATACAAGAAGCTTTATTTAGAGTCGCATACATATCAACATGGAACGTTAGCTCCTGAGAGCTATTTTTGCGACAACACAAGTATACAAAATAACAATAACATAATGTAATATTATAACGAAGTAATGAGATAATATGCTGGCAAAGCAGACAATCTTTACATTACAGACAAATACACGGTAATGTCACATGTAAGCAGAGACGTATATATGGCTTTATACGTCTCTGATGTAAGTTAGATAATTAATTGCACACATCTTTTAATGATATCACAAGGCTTGACACTTATTTATATTATGTTTTCCATATAAAAGGAAATATAAATATTTTTTCTACAAAAAGTCTTAAGGTATTTTACTGTTTACTTGGTTTTATAAGTAATATGTCTATATTTGCATATTACAAAAAAAAAAAAAAGCATCTCTAACTCTTTACGATCCACATGATTTAATTGAAGTCTTCACGGCATTTAATTTATCTTTAAGTATTAACCAATGAAATTTCCGTAATTCCATTTCCGGTTTTTACCTGACGTTGACAGGAATTTCTCATCCACGTTTACACTCTTCAGCATGGCGACCGGAGCTTCCACGAAGAAAATTGCCCTTATAACCGGCATTACAGGACAGGTAAGCTAACCTATGATAGACACTTTCGGTACTAAACAAGTCTGCCTTTTGGTACAGGAGTTAGCTCACTAACATCCAATTAGTCATGNCCCCCCGCCTCAAAGGATTATCATACCTACCGGCTCCTTCGCCTCTACTCTATCATGTCCACTCTCTAGCCTGTTCTGTCGCTCTCCGCCACACCTCATTCTCCAACGTATACCCGTGGAACATGGTGCTGCCCTAGCTTTTGTCTACCTGTTTGTAGAACTAGAACCACAACAGCACAGGTGCTAAACACAAGTGCATGAGATGTGCAACGATGTACTTGAACACTGACAAAATCTGCCTACAGGTTTGGCTATTTATAGTCAAATGTGCCTATATGTATGTAAGACAAATAAAAACAATGTTTAAATTGTGGTCGCAATCTCCTAATGCAAATTAAAAAATTGATGGACAGAAAAGTGTGTCGGCGAAACAAAAGATTTGTATCACATAATTTTTGATTTTCATTGTTTCAATGTTTAATAATAGCATCCAGTTATTCTCTGTATCTGATGGTTAGACAGGAAAATTAAAAAAAAATCTGTACCCAACGCAACATATTTCTATCCCTTGAACAACTTTTACTGCATGTTTGATATAATTCCTACTCAGAAGTATCTTCCGAAAGCATCCATTAAGGCCCAAATCTGTATATATAGACACTTGCTGTAGTTTTATACTTAAAAGGAATAAATATTGACAGGAAAAAAATGCAATATGAATAATGAATTTTTACCAGAATTGTACCTATTTAAATAAAATTGTGAAATTAGACAATAATCTTAAATTTCATCAACTTACTTGGTTGGTCCTTAATGTTATCAACATGCAGAAGATAAATATGACTTGTAACGACTTGTTTGTTTACATCCGACTTATATACATATACCGTAAATTTGCGGGTATAGTGTGCACTCGTGTTTAGTGCGCAGGTACGTTTTTTGGGTCAGATTTGAAAAAAAGTGTTTTCCCAGCTCACTTTCATGTTGATCTCGCGTCTAACACGTTATGTTGTTTTTGTTATCTTCAATCTATCATAATAATATGACCAACGACTCCAAACAAACTATTTAAAGGGAGGTAATCCAATATGGCTGACCTGAAACTCGAGACAGATAACCGAAAGTTACTTGTTCCTGCGTATAGTGTGCACCCCCTTTTTGACATGACAATATATACCTAAAAAAGTGTGCACTATACGCGCAAATTTACGGTAGTCATTTTCGACTTTATAGCCTAATCTGCCTATATAGCCAGATACTCCATTGCTCCAGTACCTGGTAATATCGCCTGAGGTCCTGTTTCTCTGCTCACTCAGATCTTTTGCTTATTGCTATGCACAAATTTTATGTACATGTGTTGATGTCATTCACTCATTGGTTTTTCCGTAATATGCAACTCTTAATTTTGCACATCTCTGAACAGTAATTATGTGAACCTTTTTTTCTTGATGCATTTTAGTAAACTGCTAAATAATAGCAGTATTACAGGATGAGCTATAAATAGTTGGGCTGCAATGATACATTAACCTGACAATACGATACGTTTCATGATACTGTGGTCATGATATAATAAGTTTCACAAAATGGGCATGACTTCAAAGTTTCACACAATTCACGTCTTTGTAAGTGCATGCTGAGATGGAGCTGTTACTCGCCATGTTGGAATTGATATGAGAAGAGTAATTTCAAAAATGACGAAATCCGGAAAATATTGTAGACATGTGTATCGTAACCTCCCAAAAAAATCATGTGTATAGTACCATATTCAAAATATGGTGATAAATCGTTGCATGATGTATTGTTGCAGCCCAAATAAATGGACAGGCATAGAAACTGGACAATGATGGTGTTGTATCACGACAACAGCTGGATTCACATAAGTTGTCATTGCAAAGTAAAGGAAGTCAGATTGCAAAGTAAAGATTAAACATTGTTTGCAATCAACTCCAAACACATTGCTTTATTAATTTTGCTCTAGTCCATTTATTTTGCAATATCTGTTTTAATTGCTCCAGAAATGATCACTGAAATGCTTTACAAAAAGATGATGTGGATATGTATATACTGGAACCCCAATTCCTTAAACTAACATTACTTGGATACCCCCAGTTTGTCAATAGTTCGCTTGGTCCAGACCCTGTTCTTACATCTTCACACTGCAATTCCTTGAACTCTGATTTCCGCCTTTTATTTCGTCAAACATGTAGTCACACCTGGGTATCACCCTACAGTTTTGATACTGTATGGCAGTTTCTTTATTTTTATTTTATTTGATAATTTAATCTTTATTAAACTCCTTTTTTCTTTCTTTCATCTACACCTACTAGCTGTGACATTAGCAGAGCTCGAACTAACCTCAGATTGTTGAATACTTTATGTATAAACATCAGTGGCCACTATAACCCACTGGCAATGTGGCATTATCATAGACACTCTATATAATCCCAGCCATTCTTCTTCTGGTGTAAGGTTCAATTAAAGATTGATTTTAGATGACTTTGCAATTGGCTAATATTATAAACATGTTTTGTTAATTCCCAGTTAAATTCTTAAGTGGAAGTCAAAGATTATAATCAATGCGATTTATCCAAAATGTTTTACTCAAACTGTTCATTTTTATATATTTGCATTTTTTAAACACTTTACTAAAATTGATGGCTTCTTTTATTACAGGATGGGTCCTACTTGGCAGAGTTTCTTATCGGCAAAGGATATGAGGTAATATATTAAAAATGAAAAACTTATAACAGAGAGAAAAAGTTTGATATTTGTTGTGTTTTGAAACTTAGGTACCAGAGGTAACCATAAACTTAGTTGTCAATTTATTGTCATGATTGGTAGAATTCAATTTGCTCATATACCTGAGGTAATGTTACAACAAGTATGAATTTAGTTTCACCAGTGTAGATTAATCATTGTTGCCTCGGATGGTAACGTGTTGGAGGTCTTAATGTGGAGGTGTACAGAATACTCAGTGAAAACCCGTGTGGTAGGGCAGGTGATCCCTTTTTTAACTTTTAAAGTCTAATCTGTTAACCATCCACCCCTAAAGTCACATTTGAACCCTACCAAATCAAAGACTGGGCAAGTCCAGTTTAAATATGTAGGGTGAATCAAACCATGGGTGTCATAATGAAGAGTGTGTTATACACTGCAGTGCCACATACCAACCACTGAATACACACACAATATAGCTTATACAGATTGTAAACCATGTTATGATAGGTGCTCAGCACTTATCCCTGCCTTCTTCTATATGGCGTTTATCTCAAACTTTTACTTTTTGGTCTCATACTTCAACAGTTTGGCATCCAGCACTGCTGGCAAGATTTACCTGTTTTGATATCTCAGTAGCAATCAAGAATATTGCTTTTATTCATTAAGACATGTAGAAAGATATAGAATTATTTAGTATGAAATAAGGTTCAAGTAAATCTTTAAAAAAGCAACTGAACCTGGGTTTTGACTGAACTTAAATCTATCATAGACTATGCATGAAGGAGTTATTTCTATTTCTAAATTCAGTCTTGTCCTTTACTGTCTTTTCTTAGATTTTGCACAGCATCGATTGTCTAGGCTTGTTTTACAATTCACACGTTAGTGTTTTATTGAGGACCATATTGATGTGTGTGTACCATATGTTGTAATATGTGGTTATACACCTACAGGCATTATCATGTCGGTATAGATTGTCATTAAGAACAGAATGTGACCAGGTGTTGATGTTTACAGTGTCAATAAACTCTGCATATGGACCAAGTAATACGTATTGTAGATATGAACTTTTTAAACATTCATGTAAAAAACTAGAAATATATGAATAGCTGAATATCTCGAAGAATGTGTGTGAAAATAAATTTGTATGATTTGTGTCGAGTGACTAATGTATTTACTGTGTTAAGTCACTCTTGTATAGCTTGGTTTGGTTTGTTTTATAGGGTTTAACATCCTATTAACAGCTTAGGTCATTTAAGAGTGTGCCTCCATGTGTGTAATATATGTGTGTATTTGTGTGTATGTATGTTGGAGGTGGTATATTGGTGTATTTGCTTCTGTGTGATAGTGTGGATCTGACAAATATGGAGGCAGAGTATGTTGGTGTATTTGCTTCTTTGTGATAGTGTGGATCTGATACCTATGGAGGCAGGGTATATTGGTGTATTTGCCTCTTTGTTATAGTGTGGATCTGATACCTATTGAGGCAGGGTATGTTGGTGTATTTGTCTCTTTGCGATAGTGCAGATCTGATACCTATATGGAGGCAGGGTATGTTGTTGTATTTGCCTCTTTGTGATAGTGCAGATCTGATACCTATGGAGGCAGGGTATGTTGGTGTATTTGCCTCTTTGTTATAGTGTGGATCTGATACCTATTGAGGCAGGGTATGTTGGTGTGTTTGCTTCTTTGCGATAGTGTGGATCTGATACCTATGTAGGCAGGGTATGTTGTTGTATTTGCCTCTTTGCGATAGTGCAGATCTGATACCTATGGAGGCAGGGTATGTTGGTTTATTTGCCTCCTTGTGATACCATGGATCTGATGTGGACTTGAAATTGCTATCCAACTGAAATACCATGATGAAGGCAACCAGCACAGCATTCCGCCTGGTCACATTATACTGGCAACAGACTAACAACATGTTGCTATTACCCTAAATGCTAATAATTACCATTTTAACGGATTTTGATATGTTCCGCCTTGGGGACAGAACCAAAAGCTTCCTCACTTGGGAAAACATTGGACACTAAGGCCAAACAAAAGGCATTGCAAAGTAAGGTGCCGGAAAAGAAAAATGTTTGTTAGGAAATAGAGAGAAAATATAAAGATCCAAAATATGTAATGGATGCAGCAGATTTATTTCTGTAACTTTTATGCTGTCAAGTAGAGGGCACAATTCTTCAGCCCCGACCTGCTAGGGGTGACCTGTTATTGTTCTGTGTTAAGTGACTTTTGTATTGATTTAATGATTTGTGTATGGCGTGTGCTTCGCTTGTGTATGGTCTGGTGGTTTATATGGTATATTTGAAATTGACTGTGTAGGTTTTGTAGTAACTGTAATTAGGGCCCGTATCGGAGATACGGGTGCCCTATAGTAATCATTCTGTCTGTCTGTCTGTCCAACCACAAATTATGTTCCTGGCTGATAACTTTGGTATTTATTGGTTGATGTACATGAAACTTGGTCAAGATGTTCAGTTCACAAAAATACACATTGAGGGAAAAAGTCAAGGTCAAAGGTCAAGGTCATTAGGTTCAAAGGTCATGGTCAAATTTTACATCTTTTCACTGATGACCATTTTGTTATGACATTATGAAGCAAAGTTGATCAGAATTAAACAAGGAGTCAACTGATCATAGGTCAAGGTCATCGGGTCAGGGGTCGAGGTCAAATTTTGTAGCTTTTCACTGGTGAACATTTCGCTATGACATTATGAAGCAAAGTTCTTCGGAATTAAACAAAGAGACACATTGAGGTAAAAAGTCGAGGGCAAATGTCAAGGTCATTAGATTCAAAGGTTAAGGTCAAATTTTGCATCTTTTCACTGATGAACATTTTGTTATGACATGATGGAGCAAAGTTGATCAGAATTAAACAAGGAGTCAACTGACCAAAGGTCAAGGTCATTGGGTCAAAGGTCAAATTTTGTACCTTTTCCCTGAGGAACATTTTGTTATGACATTATGAAGCAATGTTGTTCAGAACTTAACACAGAGTCAACTGACCTTAGGTCCAGGTTACAGGGTCCAAAGGGTCAATGTCAAGTTTTGTATTTTTCACTGATGAACATTCTGTTATGATATCAAGAAGCAAAGTTGGTCGGAATTAAAGAATAAGTCAACTGACCAAAGGTCAGGGTTACTGGGTTAATGGTCAAGGTCATTTGGGTCCAAAGGTCAAAGACAAAGTGGATCTCTGACTTTGATCCTGGCTCTTGATGGCGGAGGTATAGAAGGTGAAATAAAACAAATCAAAGCTAACAAATGAGTATTGCATAGGTATTTACATTTCTGTTAGCCCAGCAAATATGGAGGTGGAAGGAAACAAGACTCACATCATAGTACATGTAAAATGTATATTTTGCTTCCTTGCGATTCTTTTTGAAGTCCAAATGTCAAACGTCAAGCTCAGCTATATGGGCAGATTGCTTCTTGATGATTATGGGGGATAAATTGCCACAAGACGGGGCCCTTACTGACCTGTCAGTGTTCTAGTTGACTTGGAGTCTGGTCTATGATGACTGATTCTGTATATTGAGTGTGTTAATTATATTTGCTGTATATAATTCCAGGTACATGGCATCATCAGAAGATCGAGTACATTCAACACCTCTAGGATAGAGCACCTGTACGCTGATCCTAAATGTCACACAGAGGGATGTAAGTACACTCATTATATTAGTCTGGTGTAATGTACATTGATGATGCATGTAATTGATATGTTTGTACCAGACTGATTTTCAAGTATATATAACAACTTCAAACTTTTATAAAGTCTCATAATAAACTTCAATGTTAATTATTAGTATAAGAAATGTTTGTTCTCTTTTCATTACATTTCTTGTCCTTAATATTGGTTTAGAGTTCATTATAACCACTATTATAGGAATTTTCCATATGATTCGAAAGTATTTTGTGCATTTTGCAGCCATATGTAAATATATATGTTTCATCAAATATAGCACTTAATTTTAGTAGTCCAGGTTAAGTCCAATAATCTTGAGACAAAGTATTTTTGCTCCTTTTCAGCACTAAACTTGTCAGCTAATGCTGTTGTCAGGTCCATGTACATTCAAATCCATTTGTTATCTTCTACCATAGAAATTCTTAGCAGCAAATTTAATTGGGCAATCCATGAGAAATACAAATGTTCTTATGGGACATTTGGTCAGGTAACTATCCCAAGCTTGCCAGGCCGAAACAACTTTTACAGGACATTTCGGTCAGGTTTGCTTGAATAACATACCAGTCTGAAGAAAATGAAAAAAACTCTCAAAAATTGTGTAATGTATACAATAATTAAATTAAACATTACCTGGGATTGGTTTTGGCAGCAGTTTGCGGGGTTTGCCCAAGTCACGTAACAAAGTATTATTCTTCATACAATCAATGTCAATACAGGTTACCGCAGCGCTTGACTGCACTGAATTTTACAGGGGCATTTCAAAGAATTACAATAGTGATTGCCAGACCGGTAGTAATTTTTATCGGACATGTCTGTTGGACGGGCATATTTCGCTTGGACTGATTGGGATAAAAATCTGATATCAAATCATTATGTAAAAAAGTTAAGCCGTTAAATCAAATGTAAAAAAGATAACCCATTCATAAATCATATGTAAAAAAGTTAAGCCATGATACCACACTAGATCAGGTAAGGGGAAGTAACTCCTCTTTTGATTTTGTTCTTCAATGCATATAGGAAGTCATAAGAATAGATAAAGGTTGGAAGAACTTTGGAGATATGCATGCCATGAAAATATTAACTACAAAAAACTCAACTTTCATAATGAATCATTGCAAATAAAACAAGATATTTTTGATAGTTGTGGACCTTTTTTTAAAAATAGATTTTAGAAATGATAACAGATGAGATCGAATTTTGAAAATAAAACCAGTCACATTTATCTTTGGTTAGAAATATGTTTTCAAAAGTAAAGAGAAAGAAAAGTGTAATGAAAAAATACTTGAAATTATAAAAAAATCTTTCTGAAGACAGAAACATCGAGTTGTTGTAGAATTTGTATCTTGTGTACATGCGCAGCTTGATGTGTTGATAGTTTTGTGCTATGTCTAGGAATGTACTTGGTTTGCTGAATGTCCTTTGTTGTACCACTTACTGTACGTTACATCCTACCAGATGACGCTGTAATATGCATGACGTATGCTGTAATATGCATGACGTATGCTGTATGAATGGTCATGTGACCAGAGAGCTTACTTTAAGCCTGTTAACCCTGTATATATGTGGTGTGTTTGTTATCCTCCACAGTGGGAAGAGGAAGTAAGTACCTACTACATCACTACCTATATGTAGCTCTACATTCAGATCCTTCCTGTGGCTTAAAGTGACTTCATATAACTAGACACACTAGAGGCAACCAGGAAAAATATTGTTTTCTTCATAAATGTTTGTAGTCTATAAAACTATGAAAATATTAACCGAAAAAACAATCTTGCAAAAATCTTAAAAAAATAAAAAATAAAGCCCCATAAAAGCATAGCAACATATAAGCCAAGCTTCTGATCTGGAATGAGTATTTCGGGTTGTTCCTGGTTGCCACTTTGAGCCATAGTTCTTTAACTGAAAATTGTTTTGCTTTTTTTTCATTATGTGCCATCACATTAAAACTAACAGTATTTTGTATTGTACATACTTTTTCTCACACAACTGTGCACTGTTTATCCTATGCGGGACTTAAAATCTTTTTTGGTTTTTCCATATTAGCAGTGAATAAGAGGGCTACTACATGGCAAATTGAATTATTGAAATATATTTCTATGCTAACATTGATATACAATGGACGATTTTGAAAAACATCAATGAAAAGTGTCTTCCATAATGGAAATGAATGGTTACCATATTGTTCATATTATTTGAGTAACATTTGAATTAAAATGGTAAATCTTAAACTTATCAAACATGGCTCAACTAAAAGCATAGCCACAAAATGACACCAGATGGAGGTATCATGAAATGGTGTTGAGTTTTTGGAAGACAAATGAGATTTCTAAATCGTCCAAAAGAGTAGCACTGTATGATCTGCTCTTAGATGCCTATGTGTGGTATGTTATATCAATAATCAACTAATTAACAGCTTCTGGAAATTGCTGTTTGTCAAAATGAAACATTTATGTGATGGCGCAGTGTCCCTCGTCCAGTAACTTTTTGCTGTAAAACACTGTTTATAGTCCATGGTGATCAGTAAATGTGGTCTGGAGCATCCTAGCTAGTCAAAGGGCTCTAAATTTTGTGTAAAAGGAAGATATGGCCCCTCCTGAGGGAAGAAGGGTGGGACAAATAGGTTTAAAGGAGGTAATTCTTCAAAAATCTTCTCCTTCTAAACCAATGGAAGTATTAAGGCCAAATTTGTTCTAGAGAATCTCTGGACAGAGGGAACTAAATTTTCTATAAAATAATGGGTGTCGCCCCATGTGGCAGAGGGATGGGCCAAATAAGGGAAAGAGAGGTAAATCTTTCACCGTCTGTAAGAATGATGGTATTTAATTTAAACAAAATGTGGTCTGGAGCATCCTTGTAGAAAGAGGACCTAACTTTGGGGGGATGGGGCCCAATAGGGGAAATAGAGGAAAATATTAAAAGTCCTCCGTCTGTACCAATGAAGGATTTTAACCAAACATGTTCTAGAGCATCTTTAGGCAAAAGGGATTCATTTTTGTATACACAGAGGGTTTGGTCCCCCTAATAAAGGAATTGAGAGAAATCTTATACAATCTTTCTCCTGTGTGAATAGAGGGATTATCACCAAATTTGTTTCATATCATCTGTAGGCAAAGGAGACTTAATTTTGTATAAAAATTTGAGAGGATGGCAGTAGGGTTGGGCTCAATAAGGAAAAAAAGTTTTTAAATTTGTTTGTTTTTCTTCAATTTGAATGGAAAGCTTTCAACAGATTCTGGTCAGGAGAACCTGCAGACTAAGTTTTGTATGCGTGAAAGGTTTGGCCCCCATGGGGGCAGAGGGCAGGACCAACAGGGTAAATAGAGTTAAATATTTAAAATGCCCTGTATAAATGGAGGGATCTAAACCAACTTTGGTCTAGAGCACCTTTTGGCAAGTGGGTCTCAATTTTATATAAATGAAAGTGTGCACGTGTGGTCCCCCCCAAGTGGCAGAGGGGTGAGGCCAAACAGTAGAAATAGAGGTAAATCAATCGAACCCTTCCCCTTTTGTATGAATTTATGGATTGTATCCCCATTTTATACCAAATATACAATTGCTAGGCATAAATAGTGAAGAAATATTCATGCGACTAGGATAGGCCAGGAGGTCATGTCCCATCCCTGTAGACTAACTCCCTGGCTCATAACAAGGAAACAGTTGAGATCCCCATGCCATAACCATTTACAAAATTGCTGGGCATGAAGAACACACACTCATGTTCTTGGTGTCTTCTCCACCTCAACATATTAAATAGTCTTGCAGCTTCAATTTGTTGCACTTTTTTGATTAGCTTAGCAGTACTTGGCAGGTTTTAAATTGAAAATAATATACCAGGTGAGCTTTAAGGTCCTTGGGTCTCTTGTTTGACATTGTCATTAAACATGGGTACTTATTATAGGGTGTAGAAACTTATGTTAATAATGGATAGCCAGTGATGATTCCAGAGGCTAATCTGGAGGTTGATTGATTTCAAATTTTCTTGGGGATGGGATGGGCGGTGGGGGTGAGGGCAAAGGGGGTGAGGGCAAAGGATAATGGATTGGCAGAATCCCAGAGAATCCTCCTGGATCTGCCTGTGGAATCATTGTTTTAGCTGTGTATTTTACCTATGATGGTCAACTGCTTAGTAAGTCCATACCAAGGGAGCTAATATGGATACTTAGTTAGTCCATACCAAGGGAGCTAATATGGATACTTATTTAGTCCACACAAAGGGAGATAATATGGATACTTAGTTAGTCCACACAAAGGGAGATAATATGAATACTTAGTATGTACACACAAAGGGAGATAATATTGATACTTAGTTAGTCCACACAAAGGGAGATGGGAGATAATATGGATACTTAGTATGTCCATACAAAGGGAGCTAATATTGATACTTAGTAAGTCCATACAAAGAGAGATAATATGGATACTTAGTTAGTCTACACAAAGGGAGATAATATGGATACTTAGTATGTACACACAAAGGGAGATAATAGGGATACTTAGTAAGTCCATACCAAGGGAGCTAATATGGATACTTAGTAAGTCCATACAAAGGGAGATAATATGGATACTTAGTAAGTCCACACAAAGGGAGATAATATGGACACTTAGTTAGTCCACACAAAGGGAGATAATATGGATGCTTATTATGGCCATACAAAGGGAGATAATATGGATATTTGGTATGGCCATACCAAGGGAGATAAAATGGGTAGTATAGGCATGGGTTTTCTCCAGAATTCAACACTAAACTTTAAGCACTCATTGCCTATATAATAGGAGATCAGTGTATGAGTGATGATATACAGCAACATTGTAATAACAATAATAGAGAATTTTACTTTTGTCGTTAGATGGAACAAATTATATGTGTAAATAGTCTAATTAACAGATAAAACCTTTGCCTTTTTATTATACAATCATTTTAAGTAACTGTCCCCATGCTTATTGTAATAGTATTCTAGAATTGCGACCTTAGTTTTATTAAATATCTGTACAGGAACACAACAGTAGATAACATGTGCATTTGCTCACAGTCATAATAGTTTTATCTTATGTAGTAATTATATAGTGTGTTGTAATCCTTACTATGTTAATAAGTTTCTTTTCTTTTATTGATTTGTATATAGTGTAGGACTGTTATCACTTAACTGTAAGAAAAAAATCTTCATTACAAGAAGGTCTTTAAATTTACTGAGTTGTTTTATTTTCCAATTTTCTTGTATTTGCATTTGGTTTCTTGTTTTATTTTTATCATGATATTGCAATAAATTTTTGTTTTGAGTTGAATTATAGTTGTAAATACAGTGTACTATCTTTAAAAAAAGGTAATATCATTATTGTAATATATTTTTTCCCCTGAATGTAAGCACCATCATTTTTTAACAAACATATATGCATTGTTAATTACAGCAATGCACCTACACTATGGTGACCTGACAGACAGCACCTGTCTGGTGAAAATCGTTAGTGAGGTCCGTCCAGAAGAAATCTACAATCTTGGTGCTCAAAGCCATGTAAAGGTAAGTTGATAATTTCTACTTAATAAATATGTGTATAAGAAATAAAAATTGTATATTAATATACTAAATATATTATGTCCTCTTTTGGATAGAATTTCTTTTACTCTCAGTTGTATGGATTAATGTAAATGATGTATAAATTAACAGAAATAGGTCATGTAGGACCAAATGGTAGTTATCATTGGCTCATATGATTGATGTTATATGAGAGTGGTTCAATTCTTTGAATACCGTTTCTATAGATTAACACAAAAGGAGAGCCTAGTTGCTCATTTATTTGTATGACTTACCTCCCTTTAACCGTAAAGCAACTTGATGACAGTGTCAAAATAAAACACCTTATTTCAATATAAGGACCAGTATATCATGTTGATAACACCTTTTATTGTAGCTGTGTAACATATTTCAAAGTTAAATGTGATATTTAAGAATGTTCAGTTGTGGTTGATATCTAATTTTTCAAGCATAAGATATAACCATTCAAATTTATGTTTCGTTCATTTTCCTTCTTCAGGTAAACTTCTATTTATCATGGTGTAAAATTTGCTTTTTATAACCTATCATAGAGGATATGGAACGTATCAGATACCCAGACTAAAAGACCAGTTTATACAGTAAAAGCACTTATATACCATTAGTTTGCAGTTAATGTCACATTATCAGTTTCCTTTCTAGTATGACATTAGTGTCCTCACACGTCAGCTGGCAGTTCCTTTGTTGACATACAGTTTTAAACTCACACATGTATTGACTAATACTTAACTCAAATGACAGCTTGCATCTCTATTTGCTCCAAAATTTATACAATATATTGATCTACAAAGGATGAGTGTCTATAAGGGCCTTTTTTGGTCCCTGATATATCTGGATTACCTAATGCAAAAGTTTGACTGAAAGTGTCTTTCTGGGGTACCAAAGGGGATAGAGTAAACTACAAATAGAATTCTCTGTTTTCAAAATGATATTTAACAACCAAAATAATGCCATTTCTGTTTTTGAGTACATGTGTAAATTAAACAGGCATATATAAAAGAACGAAAAATGACAGAAATTCAATTGTCACTTAAAGATTGTTTACTGGTATATAAAGCAGAAGGTAATGTAATTAAGTCAGGGTTCCTTTAGGTTACTTTCAAATGAAGAGTGTTTTCTCAATAATTTGGGGGGGGGGGGGGGGGGGGCAGAGAGAGAGGATGTTATATGTTTTGAAGAAAACCTCAACAAGTATGAGATGTTACCCCAGCCCTAAATTAAAAAATGGTCCCCTTTAAATTACTAAAAGGGGGCTATATAGTGGTCCCATGGCTGGAAAAGACACGGTATACTAGTTAACAAGGGAGGATGCCCAGTGTAATTCGTGTTATACAGTCTATTAACCAATTAAGGTTTCTCATCAAAATGTGGTAGCTTTCGTGAAGGTGGAATGACAGGATTATCGTATGTGTATCACTGTAAACATACCAGTAACATTGGTGAGATATGAATATCATTAAGTGCTTAATTACTAGGTATAAGAGCTTTAGGTCCTCCAACCACTGTGATCTCCATACAGGCCCTGTACAAACCCTGATAACTATCACCGGCTCAATGGGTCGGATTATGTATTCAAATTAACTTGGGTATGATACCATAGCTGTAGGGGCTGTGCTGGCCCTTTCCCTTTGTGGTGGAGGGGATACTAGGGGAAGGCTGTAGGCTTTGTGGGGTATCTATAACAAGCGAAATGATGTCCCGCTGTCTGTGAGAATGAGAGATAATAGAGAAGGATCTGGGTGTCACTTGGACTGTCAGTGTGGTGATTAGCCGTCAGTCCCAATGTTTACACAACTGTCCTCATCACTTGGACGTTTTCTTCCCTCAAATTGCTTCATTCAAACACGTAATGGACGAATCGGTCTGAAACAGGCTCGTTACATGGCTTCCCCTTTACCAGAATGCTAAGTGAGATAGTTAAAACTGTCCATTCTCATCTGACATCCATCTCTTCATGATCACCCAGCTCTTTGTTTCTACGTGTAACTAATACAAATTAAATCATTTTCTTTTGGTGGATAATCGTTTGCCTTGAAAAGTTTTTTTCCTCTCTAAAAGGATTAAAGCCTGTTGAACGGTTATTTTGACACCATCAATTAAGTAGTTAGACAACGGGTTAAAAGCTAACGCTTTCAATTTTACAAAGTCTTTTAATTCCTGATTAAATTAACAAGTTAAATCTAATTTTTTGGATATTATTTTTTTAATATAAAAAAATCAAACATTTTTATAACCAACTATTAAAAAGGATAAAGAATATATGTGATGACATGCTAATGGAGCTCTATTTAATGAGGAAAGAACTGCTTAATAGAAAGTAGAACAATAGGTTATTTGATGACAATACAATGATTGTACTTTGTTCTTTTTCATGAATTTATACTGAAAACAAAGTCTTACCTGTACTTACATAAAATTTCATGGGTTTTCTTCTGATTAACATTTGGAAAGCGTTGCGTTAAAGCAAACTGTCACCCAGTACATGTATACAAACATGAAAATCAGGCCAAAATATATTTCCATTGTCACTAACATGAAGCAGCTTTTGAAATTCTTTTCTACAATTGTACAAATGTGTTCCATATAAATCAAGTTTCGCAAGCATTTTACAGAATTATAGTGTTAAATCAAAATATGAGTTATTGAAAAAAAAAAAAAAAAGGGGGGAAAAACCTACAGGTAACAAACTTGGGACCTACAATGTATATAATGTCTATCCCACACTAAATACCAGAGTTACACAGTACAATACATGTGTATGGATACATTTACAAGGGTAGCCACTCTAAACCACAAACAGAAAACCTTGTTTCATCTTCTGTACATAAGGTTAAAATGGAATTCTTATTGGTGAACTCAACTGATGTTGTGGCACCAACATTTCCTAAGTATTATCGAAACAGAAAATATTTGTACCACTTACCTAACTTGAATTCAAAAAAATAAAAACAAATGTTTACAGTTTGTGAATACATTGATATGAAATACTAGAATTCCAAAAATAGACATTTTGATAGGAAATGTTAGTAACTGACATGAGAATGTCAATGAAACCATTTAATTTTGTCTTTGTTACTTTCTATGATCAGGTGTCGTTTGACCTAGCAGAGTACACAGCCAATGTAGATGCTGTAGGAACGCTCCGTTTACTCGACGCCATGCGAACCTGTAAGGACATCCTACCAAAGAATGTCAAGTTCTATCAAGCTTCAACAAGTGAAATGTTCGGCAAAGTTCAAGAAATCCCACAAAAAGAGACCACGCCATTTTATCCAAGATCTCCATATGGTAATTACTGATATAGTTATTTAGCATAAGAGGAATAATTATTTTCTTGCTGATGGGAAAAAGATGAAAAGATGCAATATGAGTCCACCATATAATGAAGATAAATATTTTTTGGGTGAAAATTTTATTTCAAGATTGTGTTCCAAACTAGTAATTAATGTAGTCAGTATTCGCAAGATTTTGATACATGAATGAAAAATAACATAAAAATATTTCAATGGCGGTAAAATAATTACGAGATATTTGATTCATTGATGGACTTTTGTCCATCAGTGGACACAGAAACAGGTACTTGTACATCTATTAGAGATTTTAACAGGAGATATTTCAGTAATGAATGATATAAGATCTTATTTTGTTTCCAAATTTATGTCTTTATTATTACCACCTATATTGTAGCATTTTGACCTTTACCTCTTAACCTTAACTCTGACCTTATGACCTTTGTAGGTGTGGCTAAGGTGTATGCCTACTGGATAGTAGTGAACTACAGGGAGGCTTATGATATGTATGCTTGCAATGGAATCTTATTCAACCATGAAAGTCCCAGAAGAGGTAAGCTTTACAAATTTTGAGTTAGATGCTCATATCCCCCTGAATAGATACTAGCTGCTTCCTACCGACTCTGCTAGGGAGAATTTTCTTCAGCTCCATTGGTAGAGTGTCCGACTAGTAAACCAAAGGTCCAAGGTTTGACCCCTGGTAGAGACATCATTTCAAATACATTAGGTCACTGTGACCTACATGCTGACCTTCGACCTTAAACTTAAATACAAAATATGTGAGATACTGCTTGTCCGGATCATATATCTCACATTATTTCACCTGCAGTACTAGTCCTCAAAGTAGGTATACTGGTACATATTGGCAGCATGTTGCAATCTTGATCCGCCCCAAAAAAACCAGATTAATATTTACAGGGTAAGTTACGCAGAGGCTTGCCATTAACACTATTCAATGCCTTTGTTAGCATGCTGGTAGTTTACTTCAAGGTTCATTGGGGGCTATTAACATTGATGTGTTGCAGCCAAAACTGATATTTTTCTTTTTTTAACTTTTATTTTGATTACTGGAATCACCAGCTTAAAGTTTCTGCAGTGAAGAATAATGTATATATATACATATACATGAAACTGAAAGGTGAATTAGACATTTCTTTAGTTTTATAATGTTAAACAATAGAGCTAATTTCATTCAGTGAAATTCTTAATATAATTGATAATGTTGGTGAAATTCCAATTTATCCGACATTTTACAAGTTTTAGTCATTTAATGAAAATATCAAAACAGTTCCTGTATGCTCCTTTCATATTTATGCAGCAAACTTCTGCAATAGTTTGTTACTTTTTCAGGTAAAGAACTAGTTTTTCTCCTAATACCTTAGACTTTATTACCTCGTAAACATGTTGTAGTGATTTTGCCAATTTCAAGAAAAGAATGATTGTGTTGGGAGAAATTTGTTGATTTAAACCCTTGGGTAATATCACCTGTCTCAAAATGACCAGTGAAACATGAAACAGCCGCTTGACCTCTGGTCACTATGTCCACCTGACATTATTAGTATCGATGATATCCCGTCATCCCTGACAAGTTGTCCTGAATTACTGGTGGCCGTAATTGGTTTTCATTCCTCCATCTGGGCTGTCATTTTTTGTCTCCATTGTAAAGCCACAGCACAATGTTTATCTACCATTGAAATTTTGTTTTCGTTGGGAATCTCATCTGTCTGATTACTTTCAAGACAACCCGAGCCGTCGATAGGTTTATAGTAGATTTGATTGTGTTGCGTTTGACTTTTTACCCCTGATTGGCCGAGTTGAGAGTTCTCTGTTACAAAATTTCGGCTGGATAATAGAAATATTTTGGGCCAGAAGGTTAACAGAATTCAATTTTTCAAATATTTTCTATTTAGTTTGTTCAATCTGTGTTAAGAGTCTGTTAATAGTTGTATGGTTTGCAGAAACTAGGCATCACATATTTACTGAATTGTGATACAAATGTATTCTCATTATTGTTGAGTCTGAAAACAAAATACAATTATGCAATATATGTACTAAATATTTGATTGTCCATGGATGTTAAATAGTCATCATCCGACAGAAAATGACCATACACTCAAATTTCTGTACATGTATTTGTAGAAATAAATTTTACTCCCTGTATCATAAACCCTGATACAATTGTTCCTGTTGTTCTTTTGAAATGTTTAGTTTCAATATATTTAGGCCCTTGGTAGAACTTGTTCATTTATGATACATGTATCTGCCGCCATATTATCTATATATGGTACATTTGCATATGGACTATCTACTCAAGTATTATTTGATAATGATTTCATTATTTTCTCACAGTTTGTGTGTTACATGTTCTGTTGATTTAATGTATTATATGTCATGACTGAAATTAGTAAACCAGTGCAGTCCTCCTTTAGTTATCTAAAACATCTTGATAGTAGTCTATCTGTGATGACAAGTTGTGTGGGCTCAATTTCTTGGACCTTGTAACAGACTATCAGAAAACTACACTTATGGATGTTTCTGGATAAGGATTGATATATTTTATCATCGTTTCTTAGTTAGATATTTATGAAATAAGAAAAACTGCACTTTCATTAATGCAGATCTATAGGTCTGGGCAGTTCCATTTTAGGACAGTTCAATTTCTTCATAGAAAAAGTTGAAATTACGAAAGATTGTTTTGTTTTAGGGATGTTGTTGTTGTGTACAAATAACTTTTGTACAATAAACTTGTTTAAAATTTGATTTATTCACATACAAACCTAGCTTTGATTTATTCACGTACAAACATAGTCTCATGGTATACATACGTAACACTATTGGGCTTCAGACTGAGGGCCAATACTGATGAAACTATTGGGAAAATATCTGACCAGTAATGTACCTGTACTAGAGATTATCACTCTCTTCAAAGTGTTCTCATTTAGGTCAATGCCCTTCAGCTATATCAGTGGTCTAATGTTTCTTTGATACCGGTCCCTTTGCCCACTCCAGCATGCCTTTGTACCAAAGACTGTGTGTGTTTGGAAACATCACCTAACATGTTCTAGAGAATACTGTATCCCGATCAGGCATGGCTCTACAGTGATTTCCTGCTACTTGTCTGCTTAGAAAAACAAGGTATTGGTGATTGGTGATGGGTATACACGGTTAGGGTGTTAGTTCCCTGGGTGTGTTGACGGTCCTGACAGTGCAATAACAGTGCTGGTTATAGTAATACCACAGGTCTATGTATTAGAGCGGGGCAAATCTTTGTCAGCCAGTAACAGGCAATGATTGAGACATAATTTCTGTGACAAAATCCAACGCTATACGTTGTCAAGTCTTTATTAAGAGAGTTCAAAGGTTAATTTGATATCCTGGTAAGTTGCCACGGTTACTTCTGTACTTTTCTGGTGAGAGATAGAAAAAAGGATTTGATTTGGGTGGAGTAAAAAATGTTGATGAATTGTGAGCACATTTTAAACGCTAGGATGTCGCCATGTCATGTACCTGTAAAAACATAGTTCCAAAAGTTAATTTCAAACGTGCTCAATGAAATTATCCATTTAATAAGGAATCATCTGGACTTCTTCGGCTTTGCCAGTAAATCTTTCTGTTGTACGATGTTACCTGCAGTTGTTTAATTGAGGCGATGTTGCCAACTGACCAAAATAACTGAAACATGATCTGTCTCAAACTACTTGTGAAAGATGCTGATCCTTAAATGTTGAAAGTCATATCCCCAACATACTTATATCTTAAAGGAAGGAGGATATTTTCTACTCTTAATTAGATTTCTATGATCTGAGAATTGCGTGTTGAGTTAGAATTTCTGGTACTTGAAGCAACTGAGTTTAACGGTGCATAAAATTAGCAGAATGTTGGGATTGTTGACTCCAATTAAACAGTTATCGTTGTAATTTTTTAGTTGCCAAAACAAATGATGTGCTTAGTGGTTGTTGGGTATACATTGTACATGTTCTTATACATAACAAACCTTTTCAAGGGGACTGATCTCTTAAGTGTACCTCAGCCAGTTTTGAAAAAATGATGTTTTTTTGTAAAATTTTCCTTGAAGCTGTTCAAATTAGTTTTAATCTTCTGACAAATAATTTGAATGAAATTCCAACTCAATGGTAAGTTTTCCAATCTGCTATTAACAATTCCACCTTTTTTTAATGGAGTAATGCCCTTTTTACAAAAAATCAGCCAGCACAATCTTGTCTTGTCTACAATTTTCGTCTGAATTTCTTGGAAATTTACTTATGTAGGCCACTCTGAAGTTATGCACCTGCGATTAATATTTTGATCCGGCTATTTTTACGGGAGTTATGTCCCTTGGTGTAATAACGTTGTTCACACCAGTGACCACTCCTCCCAAAACACTTAGCAAGTGGTACACAGAACTCTTATATCAAGAGGATGTCAATAAAGTAGGTAAATTGGTGTTACCTTCCCTAATTATGGAGTTATGCCCCTTTGTTTAAAAATGTTGTTCACACTAGGTTTTGATTGATACTTTGTACATGTAATACTTTCTTTGAGATGATGTGAATTTGTTATAGTTACCTCCCCATTTATTGAGTTATGCACAATTGTTTTAAAAAAATGTTCTCGAAAGAACTATTCCTAGGCCTCTTAGCAGTTGGAAGTATAAGTCTGCCATTCTGGCGACAGTTCTTGTTATTCTTGTCACCATGCTGGAAAAGGCTGCATTTTTAAGGATATTTAAATTACTTCCCATGGTACATTGTATGGGTATCTTGCACTCAAAAGACATGAATTTAAAAACAAATTTGACCATGTTAAGAAAAGTATTTTTTCTTATATGTGAAATATTAGGAACTAATTAGGTATATACAGGTTCCATGGTGTTGTATCATCAGGACTCCACCCAAGATTTAATTATCTCAGCACTGTCTTTTCAAAGTTAATGAGATGAAAAAAAATTGTAATATTGTAATCATTTAATTTTTCAGGTGAGACATTTGTGACACGTAAGGTGACGAGAGCTGTTGCCAAAATCAGTCTTGGCCAGCAGGAAGACCTTCAGCTTGGAAACATCGACTCTATGAGAGATTGGGGCCATGCGAAGGATTACGTTGAGGTAAGCAGATCTTTCTCTATCAGGCTCCAGATCAGCTTCCTCTTCACCTACTTGGCGCACTTGTTTGATGGTACAGCACCATGTGTTAATGTCTTGTTATCTTAACCAACCAAACACTCTTCTTTTTGAAATGTACATTTTTCCAGTTTCAACTTTAAAGATTTTGATATTTTCTTGATGGCAATTTGTCTAAGACGTTTTTATGAATCCTAAATTTGAAAGATATTTTTGGAAATTGATACATTTTTACTGCTTTATTTGTAATAAGGTTTTGATTATAAAAGCACATTGCATTGAAATATTCTACAGGCTCCGGCGTACTGGATAGATTATAATGTAAATCTTATGGAATTATTTTGTGTTTGTCATATTTTCAGTAAGTGGTTATGGAGAGCATTTTTGTTTGTCATGTTTCCATGAAGTGTTTATGATAATTATCCTAAGTATTTCCAGTGTTTGCCCATTCAACACTATTGTCTTACCATTGTGAAGTATTTCTATCTTACTGGTATTTTGTAGTCTACCATTCATAGATTCTATCTTACTGGTATTTTGTAGTCTACCATTCATAGATTCAACACTACCTTACCTCATCAAGCATTCTTACGTTGATGGTTTATAAACTGCTGTATTGTAGTAGTACAATCATCTTAAAAACAAAATAACAAGTATATTCTGAATTGATTAATCTGAAGAAATTTTGTCCGTGTTTTAGGTAGTTAATACAGAAAGTTGGAATAGCACTTTTTTGTTGGATTTGAAGAAAAAAACCTGTTCATGCATCAGTGACTGTATTTATTGGAATTGAAATTGATATCATTATTGTAAGGATTGAGTTGCAGTGTGCTTCAGGGGAGGAATTTAACCTTTACAATAGACAAGTATCAAGTCTGAAATAAATAAAGTAGCCTTACTACCTAAACCAATCTAATCAGATATGTTACCACAATGCAATGGTTTACTGAACACCTTCTGTTAATGTTTTCCAAATCAGCTTATCATGGCAATTGTGTGTTTATACACCAATCAGATTTGGAGAGTCGGCATGTCATGCAACCATGGAGATTTGAATTTAATAACTTGTAACAACAACCCAGTGATTGTTACAAGGCATGAACACACACAAACTTGGGACGGGATGGTGTCTGATTCTTTTCCTCTCTACTTTCTGTGATTCAGATCCTGCACAGGTTATTATTAGAATAAACACTGTCACCCTTTCAAAGTAAACATTATTCCATACCCCAGTAACATTTACATACAAAACAGCCTCCCCTCAACCTAAACACGCTACAAGCTACGCCAACAAAAGACACATTTTCATCCGTGTTATCCTAAGCAGTTGAGAACAGAATCAAGTTATTATTTTTTCATAAATAAACATTGAAGTAGAGTATATAAAGGGATAGAAAATCTCAGACACACAGTAGTCTAGGTCTGGTTCACCTGGTGGAAAATATAGGGGCAAATCTAGGGAATATTCTGCATTTTCATAAGGAAAAATATTTAGTGCAGAATGTTCGATAATGGCAATATTTTGCAAACTTTGATGAAGTTCATGTTTTTAAAATCGACAAAGTGCTACAAAAGTGTCTATTTCAAATTTATAAATGGATGTTCCAGTCATCTTGGCTGAATTTTTTTTCTGGAGGATTGTATGGATTATACACGTTCGATTTGAGGTTTGTGGTTGGAGTTTCTATGTGGAGTATTTGAAAAAAAGGAACATTTCCAATAATTTGTCATGGCCGAGGCTCCTTAATTAAGCAAATTTGATACTTCTTTTATATCGTTTTGTTGGATTTTTATCAAAATCTGTCTGTGTGGAAAAGGAATTATCTGTGTCTTAAAGTTTCTAGAATACAGAATTGACATTGAAAGATTTGATCTGGGATATTTTTTCCAAATGTTGAAATTATAATTACTACTTGATCAGAATACATACTTGCCAACTCTCCCTATTTAGGAGGGAGACTCCCGTTTTAGGAGGGAGACTCCCTATTTAGGAGGGAGACTCCCGTTTTAGGAGGGACTCCCTATTTAGGAGGGAGACTCCCGATGTTGAAACCATTAATTAAGCATATTCAACCAGTGGACTGTTCCTATATTCTAAGATCTAATTACATAATTGGAAAGAACAACCCAATATATGTCAATTAAAGGGCTATTTTACCGTCTCTAAGGGGTATATACATACATGTTATTTTGTCTCTAAGGGGTGTATACATACATGTTATTTTGTCTCTAAGGGGTATATACATACATGTTATGTTGTCTCTAAGGGGTACATACATACATGTGATTTAGGTTTCAATTTTGAGCATTCACAATCTCCCCCATGGAAATTTCAAAAACTTGGCAAGTATGAAAATATAAACCATGCAACCATGAGAAAATACCTGACACGGATACACAAAAATCTTTTCTTTCTATCAACCTTTCTCTCATTCTGCTACTCTTGTTTTGAATAATTGCAACTGAGTGTTATGAGAAACTAATTAATAAGCTGGGCCGGTCACATTGATGAGCAAGACATTTCATAGTGGAATCATATTAAACAAAATGACCAAATTTCAGTGTTCAATAAATTTTGTTAAAAACTTTCCAGGATTTGTCTTTTTTAAGAGAATAAATCTAGATTGATGTTGCAATACCCAGTTCCATGCAAATCAGGTACAGATCCAGGAGGTTTTTAACCGAGTGTTTCTCTTCTTTCTTATTAAAAAAATGAATGAGTTATTTAAAAAAAAAAGGGTTGGTGCCCATTTATATCGAAATCAAAATGTGAAAAGTTTCTGGGTGAATAACGAAAAACATTGTAAAAATACAGTCTCTTCAAATTTTTTCTCACTTAGTTGAAATTGCAAACTTTCTTTAATTTGCTTTTTTCAATTTCTATGCACATTGGAATGTGTTGTTTGAACACTGGATTTAGATACAAAGTCAAGATCAACTAATTCTATGAATTATAAAAATATGCACAACTTTTTAACTCATAAGAAATTTAATTACAATTTTAAGTTCTTTGTACTGTGGAACCTTGTTAATCTGGACACTGGTTTCCCAAAAAAAAAATGATTTTTTTTTTTCATGGATTAATGAAATATGTTTGATTGTTATTTAACCTTAATATATGAAACAGGATAATTGAAGTAAGAAATACTGAGATTCGAATGTGTAGTTCTTTTGACAAAGCTGGGCTTGTCTACCAGCGTTCCCTCATAACAAACCTTTACATTTTTTTAAATTTCATATATAAAATGGTTGCAGTGTAAAAAGAGTTGGAATATATGAGAAAATTTGAAGAAAAATAAGTGAATATTGCTGCCAGAATGATGTAACGTTTGATGATTTATAAACTTGTGCCTTTGATGGGCTAGTTAGGTGTTTTTGTGACCTCTGTGATGTATGTCGTTTGGATAATATTGAAAAAAATGAACAGTTTTCTTTTTGTGGAAAGCGAAAAGTACCAGATTTGCAAGTACCGTAATTGTTTTTTTTTAAATATGTGAATTTGTTTTCTCTGTCTTATGCCTTTGATAGGCGATGTGGCTGATGATGCAGCAAGAAAAACCGGATGACTTTGTCATCTCGACCGGGGAGAGCCACAGTGTGCGGGAATTTGTAGAAAAGGCCTTCAAAGTGATTAATGTAGAAATCAGGTAAGTTGTGGATATCTAGTTGAACTTAAGTGCTGGTACTGCTTGAAAAGGACTTCAAAAAGGGAGTTTTAATTTGCTCAGTATTTTTTGCACATGCTGCAATATACAACGTATAACATATATACTCCAATGCTTTTAAAAGAATATTGAGTAAATTATGTTTCAAAGTGTTTTTGTTGATATTGATATATCATAATTGATTCTTTTAAATCTGTTATGTATCAAGTCATTTAAATAGCATGCTGTATAACAATACACAAAATAGGAAAGTTTGTTTTATTTTGAGAACTTGTACCTGCAAAAATCGCAAAAAAGGTTCAAAAGTGTTATGATACTGTCTTAAAAAGCCTAAAAGAACCATGGAAATATTGGTAGAAATATTTCACTGGAAACAGCTTTGATTTTATGCTATGCTATTTTTTGTATTTGTATAAACATTTTTACATTGTTAAATTTGTAATTTAGAGATTATTGTTTACATTTCTATTTACTAGATTCACATTTATATCAAATTTCTGAATTCTTCGTACAGTGAAATTATGAAATTTGAACTGTGGAGAGTTGCACTAAAGTATTATATCTATACTGCTGAAATTTATAATGTAATGGTAGTATCAAATCAGTATCGTTGAAAAGTATACTGAAGAATTAAATTTATAATATTGCTGAATGTTGCTGAAAATTACATTAAAGTATTAAATCTGTACTGCTAGGCAAGTTTCAATTCCATACAAGGGACACACATAATAAACTATTGTCATAGTGTAAAAATAAAAGTTCTGAAGTCACCTTTAATTTCGATATTGTTTTAAAAAGAACTGATTTTATTGATAAGAAAAAAAAGTTGAAGCTACATGACTATATCATGATTTTAAAATAATTTTAAAAGATTGAATATTTTACATTTGTAAAACCAATATCTGAAAAAATAAATGGATTTGAATGTTATATATTATCAATGAATATCAGATGTTTTAAAATTCAGAGACCTCACAGAGATTGGTGTAATTTATTGCAAAAATTAAAAAAGAATGCCTCGTACTTATACAGTCATATGAATAGCACACAGTTGGTTGTATCAATAAATATTAAAATGTAAAAGCAATATTACAAGTTCATGAGAAATTTGAGAATGAGTTGAGGTTGAAGATCAAGGGGTTATAAACTCGTATGTGTAGTTATTTACTGAGATATGAACTCTGCTTCACAATAAACAGGCAACAATTTATTAAAACAGGAAAACTGTTATGGGAAAGTAAGTTAGATTTTCTGATTTTCTCTTGGTTAATGTATCAGTGGGTAAGACAGGTGGTTTTATGTTAAATGTTGTGTGTATTTGAGATTAAATTTTATCTGAAATTTTAAAATAAGTTTTAAGAGTTATAAGTAATGGCTTGAGAACTTGAAAATATATAAACTGTTCATCTGCAAAACTTATTATTGGTTTGTCAATTTATTTTGGTAAAAACTTTCAGACTGATAGTAAATAAATATTGTTGAAGAATACATTTAAGGAGATACGGTACCTTACTCTCAAATTAGATGTATCTCCATTTTAAAAGAGTTCCATACTTATTCCTATGAAACATTAAACTATCATATTTTAGAAAAAGCAGTTACTTTACGATATATAAAAAACACACCATTATAACTATTTACTGTATACCTGGAAATGTTCCCTGCAGTTTAATTTTCGCCTTTTTTGCCCTCCGTAATGAGGGCATAAACAGCATATTGAATAGAGTGATTAAACATGAAGGGCGAAAATTGATTTAATGGGCAAAGGGTGAAAGTTTGACTGGGTGACTGGTATTCCTAGGTGTAATGTATTTACTTAAGCTCGCTGGTTTTTAAATTACGACTATTTCAAAGGTTTTTGTCGATATTGGTAATCATAAAACATTAATAGATTATTTTAATCAGTTATGATTCATTTAAATATCATGGTGTATAACAATATGCTGTACATTAAGAAAGTGCTATGATACTATCCTGAACAGCCTCTACAGAAACGCTGGGAATATCTACTGTTTATTCCTGGGGGAGAAAAAGCGTGTGAAAATCTAAAAATGACAAAAATGTTCTTATAATCACACCTATTCGACAAAATTGCGTAGTAATGAAAAAATGTTTTCAAGTTAGGTTACTCAATACAAATCACATCTTTGTGTAATTAAAAACTTAACAAACCTGGTAATAACCTTTGAGACAAGCATAAGCACGGTATTGAACATAACTGTAAAGAAATGATAAATATATGATTTAATACATGTACAAATGTAAATAAATTATCATGGGATACAAAATGGCTTCAAAATTAGTTAAGGCATGATTTAGATTATCATAGTTAAATGAAAAAGTAAAGTTAAGGGTTTCAAATTAATGTGTTTAATAATTCTGCTTAAGAATATGAATTTAAAAAAAATCAAAGTGCAAAGAAGATATTTGCAGAAGAGTAATAAATTTTTTTTAAAAGCTTGATTGAAACTTTTTCTTTGCAATCTAAAATTTGAAAAAACTTTTATCCCATGAATTCTGTGTTATGCACTGAAAACATTGTTATGTCAAACCGATGGACATGATAAGTATCATGAGGTTGAAGACTTATATAACATATTTCCTGTTTTTGCTAATACAGTATTGTCACACATTTCTAGTACTGGGCACATGTAATGAAATAAAGCAAATCCTGACTTTTTTCCCAGGAATGAATTAAAAACAATGCTGAATTTTTCCTCCATCTAATCTTTTACAAGATTTATATAACTTGTCGCTAAGTTTTCTTTTGGAATTGTAAGTGTCACAGCTGTACTAAAATTAATATTTTTTTGACTAATGTTCCATAAATGTCTCATGACTTTTATCTATTTTAGATGCATAGTATATATGTAAAAGGGACGTACAAAATAAAAGCAAATAAATCAAAAAAAATCTGAATAGTTACTTTATCAATTTAAAAAATTACCAGCATTGTTATTTTTTTTTATTACCTTTGCTTTTCGTTATCTGTGGATTAAATGACAATGAAACAAAATATGAGAAAAAAACAACAAATATCATTGAAATTAGGACCACATTTTCTGACCTGGTAACATTACCACGGATATACAAATAGACATCATTTTAGCTGTTTATGTGTTGTAGTTGGGAAGGCAGTGGTGTTGATGAGGTCGGCAAAGACAAGGCAACAGGTGTGATTAGAATTCGGATCAACCCTAAATATTACAGACCTACAGAAGTGGTGAGTAGAGCTGTAACGTTATAAAATCTTCAGTAAGATTTATCATTTTGGAAATATGTGTTATCATCTATATACTACTTTATACCACCTACCGGTAGCATGATAAATTCATTATCATTGGTTGTCAGTATGAGAAGAAGTTGAGAACGACTTGAGAAGAACTTGAGAATGGATTTTCCCATTCCCCAGGACTTGGTAATGTACTCAAAAAAGAACCTCTGCTCACGCCAGATGACTTTCGAAACCAGAAATGGTGTCCACACAAAAGTGATCCGCGTAAGAAAATAGTCTGTCATAAACATATCAATACAAATTTACGGAAAAATATTGTGAGAAGAACAACACCATTTCAGGTGCAATGACGATAGGATTTAAAAAATAAATAAATTGTTCTATGTAGTTTTAAGGTTCATTGTATTCCTCCGCGCACAACTTCTATTTGTTTACGTTTGTCACAGGCGATCCTTGACCATTGAGCTTAGAAGTCATTTGGAAAACATGGTGTTTAGTTGAGTTTTTTAAACGGAGAAATATATAAGGTAGTAGTATATAGATGATAAATAGTTTATCATACAGTATTTTCAGTGTTTGTCGTTCAAACAATTTTCTCATTGCTCACACATGGATAAATCTTGAGTCTACCCGCGATTACCTCTTGATTTTATCCACATGTTCGCGATGAGAAAATAGTTCTCACGACAAACCCGGAAATAACATTGTGATAATCTATAAATGACAAAGTTTTACTTATACACAAACAATGTACTTATTAAAATTGTCGCAACATTTCAAGGCCGACTGGTCCAATTGTCAAGCTATGACTGAGTGAGTGTTTTGTATAGTTTATCTATACAACAATGTGACGAAACTGTATATTTCATGTCACTCGACCCGGGACATTTCGCCTTTCGATAGGGAGTGTATACATACTGTACCTATAGGCGTTTGCCCGGGTGATGAGGAAGCACCATTTCAGCACCCCAATGAGACCATTGACAACACTCAAACAATTCCTTGTGCACCCCAAAAACAAGACTGACATTCTAGAAAAAACAGGAGTTGTACATCAAATTCCTTGGAAAAATTGTCAGTGGTGGTATATAAAAGAAACTGGGGTGAAAAGTGATCACATACAATATACTGGGGGTGAATACCAGTAGCAGTGTTACTTCTATTACCACTTTTGATAGGTATCCTCCAAGAAACAAACGTACTCCAAATTGTTAAATTTTACTGGAGAGCAGTGATACGTGTGCAATTCAATATATTGAAGAATGTGCCATACAGGAGTTACTTCCCCTGGACTATTTCTATGACCAGACATAAAAAAATAATGACATTGATTGATATAAGTAAATACATATGTATTTTGATGAAGTCATAATATGAAAATTTGCCAACTTTCATATGTACAGATTTCTAATTTTGATAAGCAAGTAGGATAAGCAAATTTCAAGATCAAAGGAAGGAAATTGGACGTTTTACTAAGTAAATAAATGTGACATACATCATCATGTGTAATGCCAATAATTTGTATGAACCTGTCTGTTTGGGTTTTTTAACAGGTAATCATTGGCTTCAAAAATAAACATGGTGAACATTTACTGTGTCTTATAGCACATGTTATATCAGTCATTATGAAATACAAGATTCTGAGGCTGCACGATGTGAGTGAGAACTGAGCTTGGCTTTGATCATTTAACTCGCATCACACACACCGAAAAACGGCCAGAAATGTTAGACTAATCAGTGACAAAAAAAGCACATAGAAAAACAAGCGAGAAAATATGAAAAAACAAGCATAAAGCAAGTTGTTTGCACTTGTTGACAAGGGTGCAAGTAAACGAAACCTGGACAAGAAGTTTGGGGGGGGGGGGGGGGGGGGGGGGGGGGGGGCTGATAGATGTCTTTATCTGAAAGGCGAACCAGCTAGTTATGAGTTGGACGGTAAGTTTTAGTTGTGTGATGTCCTAGAGCCGAGGCAGCTGGCTGATGAGTTTTCCTTAACGTTATGTAATGAGCTTAATAGGTAAGATTTGTGTAATTTGAAGGTTGATGGGATATACTGGTGTAAGTTTAAGCGTAATGATGGGAACAGCTTTCTGACAGACATGGCCTTTTTTCACCACGTTTCCACACATACTGTCACTGGAAGATTAAGTTTTCACCAGACTGAGTGATGTATTTTTTTGACATGTGAATCGGGAACTGGTAAACGCTCGAAAGATCTTGGCACGTTACGGAGAAATTTCCATGAAATGCATGACTTAAACCGATGAAAAAAATATCTGAAAAAGATATCTTGAATTTTTCTCACACTAAAGAAATTTTAAACATGTAATGCTTTTGGACAAGAAAGGCTGAATAAAAAGTTACTGCACAATCTACATTGTACATGTTATGTTTTGTTATAAAGTTAGTGTACAAACTACATTGTACATGTTATGATTTGTTATAAAGTTAGTGTACAATCTACATTGTACATGTTATGTTATAGCTTATATCAGTTTAAATTTTGTATAAAAGAAGACCTTCAAAGCAATGGATAAAGACATTCTTTATAGTATCCTTGAAAACCCTGTTTTGAATATGAAAATTATCCAGTGCATCAAAGTTGTGGTATAAAAATGTAAAAAAAGAAAATTGACTATACTTTTGAATACAAAACGTAGTAGAAAGATAAAAGAAAAATATCTAAGAAAGTACAAAAACATTTGAAGAAAAGAATCTTCAAATTTGGAAAAAGAAAACATTCTTAAAAAATGGAACTATCCTGAATAATTATTGTTTGTAGATGTTTAAGACAAATATCAACGAAACATGGATTCATGGAAGTGGAAATAAAACCAAAACGTAATACTAATTGAGAGTGTGTGCATTTCATATTACTGTAAGGTACATTTTCATAAAGAACAGTTAGAATAGGCACTAAGACAAAACATAGTAAACCAGTAGTGGGGGGCCTTGTCTGTGGAATCACTTAGTAGGGCCCTGTAGTAGTGAAGTACGACCCTGTAGTAGTGAAGTACGACCGTGTAGTAGTGAAGTACGACCCTGTAGTAGTGAATTACGACCCTGTAGTAGTGAAGTACGACCCTGTCGTAGTGAAGTACGACCCTGTAGTAGTGAAGTACGACCGTGTAGTAGTGAAGTAGGGCCCTGTAGTAGTGAAGTACGTCCCTGTAGTAGTGAAGTACGTCGCTGTAGTAGTGAAGTAGGGCCCTGTAGTAGTGAAGTACGTCCCTGTAGTAGTGAAGTACGTCCCTGTAGTAGTGAAGTACGTCGCTGTAGTAGTGAAGTAGGGCCCTGTAGTAGTGAAGTACGACCGTGTAGTAGTGAAGTACGACCCTGTAGTAGTGAATTACGACCCTGTAGTAGTGAAGTACGACCCTGTCGTAGTGAAGTACGACCCTGTAGTAGTGAAGTACGACACTGTAGTAGTGAAGTACGACCCTGTAGTAGTGAATTACGACCCTGTAGTAGTGAAGTACGACCCTGTCGTAGTGAAGTACGACCCTGTAGTAGTGAAGTACGACACTGTAGTAGTGAAGTACGACCCTGTAGTAGTGAATTACGACCCTGTAGTAGTGAAGTACGACCCTGTCGTAGTGAAGTACGACCCTGTAGTAGTGAAGTACGGCCCTGTAGTAGTGAAGTACGACCCTGTAGTAGTGAAGTACGACCGTGTAGTAGTGAAGTACGACCCTGTAGTAGTGAATTACGACCCTGTAGTAGTGAAGTACGACCCTGTCGTAGTGAAGTACGACCCTGTAGTAGTGAAGTACGACACTGTAGTAGTGAAGTACGACCCTGTAGTAGTGAATTACGACCCTGTAGTAGTGAAGTACGACCCTGGAGTAGTGAAGTACGACCCTGTAGTAGTGAAGTAGGGGCCTGTAGTAGTGAAGTACGGCCCTGTAGTAGTGAAGTACGACCCTGTAGTAGTGAAGTACGACCCTGGAGTAGTGAAGTACGACCCTGTAGTAGTGAAGTACGACCCTGGAGTAGTGAAGTACGACCCTGTAGTAGTGAAGTACGACCCTGTCGTAGTGAAGTACGACCCTGTAGTAGTGAAGTACGACACTGTAGTAGTGAAGTACGACCCTGTAGTAGTGAATTACGACCCTGTAGTAGTGAAGTACGACCCTGTCGTAGTGAAGTACGACCCTGTAGTAGTGAAGTACGACCGTGTAGTAGTGAAGTACGACCCTGTAGTAGTGAAGTACGACCCTGGAGTAGTGAAGTACGACCCTGTAGTAGTGAAGTACGACACTGTAGTAGTGAAGTACGACCCTGTAGTAGTGAATTACGACCCTGTAGTAGTGAAGTACGACCCTGGAGTAGTGAAGTACGACCCTGTAGTAGTGAAGTACGACCCTGTCGTAGTGAAGTACGACCCTGTAGTAGTGAAGTACGACCGTGTAGTAGTGAAGTAGGGCCCTGTAGTAGTGAAGTACGACCGTGTAGTAGTGAAGTAGGGCCCTGTAGTAGTGAAGTACGACCGTGTAGTAGTGAAGTAGGGCCCTGTAGTAGTGAAGTACGTCCCTGTAGTAGTGAAGTACGTCGCTGTAGTAGTGAAGTAGGGCCCTGTAGTAGTGAAGTACGACCGTGTAGTAGTGAAGTACGACCCTGTAGTAGTGAATTACGACCCTGTAGTAGTGAAGTACGACCCTGTCGTAGTGAAGTACGACCCTGTAGTAGTGAAGTACGACCCTGTCGTAGTGAAGTACGACCCTGTAGTAGTGAAGTACGACCGTGTAGTAGTGAAGTAGGGCCCTGTAGTAGTGAAGTACGACCGTGTAGTAGTGAAGTACGACCCTGTAGTAGTGAATTACGACCCTGTAGTAGTGAAGTACGACCCTGTCGTAGTGAAGTACGACCCTGTAGTAGTGAAGTACGTCCCTGTAGTAGTGAAGTACGACCCTGTAGTAGCGAAGTACGACCCTGTAGTAGTGAAGTAGGGCCCTGTAGTAGTGATGGGAATGTCTTAGCTCTGTATT